ATATTTTACATGATATCTCACTCAGCCAACGTATCCTAAAATATACCACTATTTAATCGAATATTTGACAAACTATCACACTCAGTCAATGTATCCTACAATATACTACATTGAATTATGTATCTTACGTGATACGACACTCAGTCAATGTCTCGTACAATATACCGCACTGAATTTCACAAAATATCACATTCAGTTGAGGTCTCTCATAAGATCTCACCCTCAATTAAGGCGTCTTTCAAGATACTACAAAAAACTAATGTATGTTATAAGATAAGAAACTAAATCATGATGTGTTATAAGATATCAAATGAAATCAAGAGCTCTCACAAGATACCGGAGTTGATATCTTGTAAGACACCTTGATAACTTCACAACTGAGTGTCGTATCTTATAAGATACATGGTTGAGTTTAGTATTTTGTGAGAGATCTCGATTGAGTTAGATTTCTTAAAAGGTACAATCTGTTGTTTTACTCACTGTAACAGGCGGAGCTGTCCACTAAGATGATCATGTTCATGCAAAACATCCAAAATTCGCCTTTTTTCGCTGCAAGCGAAACGTATAAAAGTATAAGAACTTCATTAAGAGATAATTGTTCATAAAAAATGGAAGTCATCCATTATCTTGAATAGATGTTGCCTCTCTAAATGCAACAAAGGAAGAAGCAACACTATTTGAAGTTGTGGTGGCCTGAGGGTCACCGGCTGTGACATTAGAAGCTAATACTTATTGAAAATGAGGTATACAAAACGTATAAGAGTTAGTTTAAATGTTTTATTATTATAGTGTTACACACAGTATTATTATAGCAGTTTGAAGTAATGGAGTACATTTGTATTCGGAAAGAATAAACCAGTTTTATTAAGTAAGGACTTGTGTCGCTAAAGTTTCGTCGGAAACGAAGTTACGGAAAGTTAATTAACAAACGGAGACGTAACAATATGATTGAAATATAAAACTTAAGCAATTTCTCAAACTCTTAATTTTTTTTTATCTATGGGTTATGAAGATCTAAACTCATAAAATAACAATAGTTTAGCAGTAACTGAGACTCAGGGTAACGTTGACATGGAAATCAAAATCATAACCCAAACCATTCATATGCAAATATTCACAAACATGTTTTGGCCAGCACCTCTGTTCTCGAATTTCAAAGTATGACGAGAAGAGAGCTTCAGGTTATATTGAAGAACAAAGTTTTAAGCCCTATAAAAATAATAATTATAGTTCCAACTATTTGTTTTTGTTTGTAGTTAAACTCAAAGCTAAAATAATGCGCTACATTGATGTGCTCACCTTGGGGATCAAAACTCGGTTTTTAACGTATAAGTCTACAGACTTACCGCTGAGCCACTGGGGCACTTGCTTCATTCCACATATACAGCCCATTGTTGGCACCCATCAGCCATGCTTTCCGGGTATGAAAATGTTGGAAATCAGTGTCAGTACTGTAGAAAATTTCCCAGTATTGGCCAGGATGCAAATCGATCTTTATATTTTCCCCAGTTCAACTATACAATCTTGGAAATGGAACTAAGGCCTTGTTTAACATACCCAACAATATGGTGACAATAGTATAAATAAAACGGACTAAGGCCTTGTTTAACATACCCAACAATATGGTGACAATACTATAAATAACACGGACTAAGGCCTTGTTTAACATACCCAACAACATGGTGACAATACTATAACTATAACGGACTAAGGCCTTGTTTAACATACCCAACAATATGGTGACAATACTATAAATAACACGGACTAAGGCCTTGTTTAACATACCCAACAATATGGTGACAATACTATAAATAAAACGGACTAAAGCTTTGTTTAACACAACTTTTTATACGAATCAGGCAGTTTGCTGCAAGTTATCTTTCACGAGATACAAAATATTTTATAAAAGTAAAAGTGCCTAAACTTATTTTAGTATACTCTGATGTACTTTCATTAGTCGTCTCAGTGGCTCAGCGGTAAGTCTGTAGACGTATACGTTAAAAACCTCGGTTTTGATATTCGTGGTTGGCACAGCATATGTAGTTTTATTTATACTATTGTCACCATATTGTTGGGTATGTTAAACAAGGCCTTATTCCGTGTTATTTATAGCATTGTCATCATAAGGTTGGGTATATTAAACAAGGCCTTAGTCCGTTTTATTTATACCATTTTCACCATATTGTTGGGTATGTTAAACAAGGCCTTATTCCGTTTTATTTATATCATTGTCACCATATTGTTGGCTCTGTTAAACAAGGCCTTAGTCCGTGTTATTTATAGTATTGTCACCATATGGTTGGGTATGTTAAACAAGGCCTTAGTCCGTTTTATTTATACTATTGTCACCATATTGTAGGGTATGTTAAACAAGACCTTAGTCCGTGTTATTTATACTATTGTCACCATATTGTTGGGTATGTTAAACAAGGCCTTAGTCCGTTCTATTTATACTATTGTCACCATATTGTAGGGTATGTTAAACAAGGCCTTAGTCCGTTTTATTTATACTATTGTCACCATATTGTTGGATATGTTTAACAAGGCCTTAGTCCG